TCATTTTAAAGATATAAAACAAAGGTATCTCTGTCGAACTTATTGAGACTATACTCAAGATAATCAAAACGTCTCCTGATTTCTGAATAGCGATTCTACTATGAAGAATGCTTTCATCTTGTTTGGTTAAGTATCGAAATGGATGTTCCCAATACGGGTTTTTTTCGATTACTTCTATGGGATCATTTCCAGAGAAATCAACAACTTTGATGTGACCATTAGTAGTGTAGAGATAAAGCTTGTTGTATCTGCAAGCCAAATCCCAAAAAATGAAATTTAGGTTTTCCATATTCCAATGGTTATTCCAATTCCACCACGAATCATCTCCTTTCTTGTATGAGAACAAGTAACGATAGTTGAAAATCCAAGCAACCAGAAAATCTCCTGTTCTCTCGTCTATCCACAGAACAACTGTTCTTCCCCGTATGATGGCGGCTTTTGACACGTCAGCCTTACGAGAAGGAGATGATTCGACAAAGTGTCCCCAGATGAATCCATGCTCGTGGTTTCGCTCGAATCTCACATTTCCACCCCGAATTGAAGACTCCATTGATGGAAGATCAATTCTTTTGCTCGTTAACAGGTTGAAAATGTAGAAACCGAGATGAGAATCGACCATCAAGAGCCAGTTTCCGGAGCTAGCCATATAATAGCTGTCGTTGGAGAGTCCAACGTTTGTTCCTTCGTAAATCTTGTCTTCTCCGGGTTTGAACAACATCAAAGAATCTTTTACGTATATGATCCGCCATGGACAAAGAGGCTTCACGCATGTTTTCCAAATTGAATACCAATCTGAGCAAACGGTTTTTGCTCGGTAAAAATCAGTAGAGCTCAAGCTTTCGAGAATCGACCGTAAGAGATCGGGACAAAGTTTGGACCAATCGTGATTTTCAGACACTTTTAGTCTTATCTCTTCTCTCATCAAATCATTTGGCGTATCCATGTTGCGCTTACTTCCCGAGCACTCTAACTCGATTAAAGATGAAAAATTATCGAGGTATAGTTTAGTTTAGTTTGTCCAATATTTATAGTTTTAATATCTTAGACTTGGTTAAGTTTCTTAGATATCTATTACATTCTCTTCAAATCTATACTCTGATAAGCTAAAACGTCACAATTCTCCCTGTAACATCTGTCTTCTTACATTTTATCTTAAAATCATTATTTAGTTTTATAACAAGATAAATATATCATTATATAATTTCAATAGATTTAGTTATGTACATCATTATTTTAAAAATCTATATTATATATTAAAGTAAGGTTCTCTTAAAATTCATACTTTCACAAGCTGATACATGACATATCTCTTTGTGATATGGATCTTCTTCCATTTTATCCTAAAATCATTATTTACCTTTTTAACAAAAAATATCATTATTTAATTTCGTTAGATTTAACTATGTATATCATTATTTCAAAAATATATTTGAGAGATACTTTTATCCTAATTTTTATCATTTAAATAAAAAGTTAAATTAAGTTACTTTACTCTAAAATTAAAATATATAAGATTCTAATTACCAAAAAAGATATATAAGATTATCATAATAATTAAAATTTTGATAATTTCAATTTCTTTAATTTATTTAATATTGAAAAATACCTTAAAATATAGGGGTGTCAAACGGTCCAGCCCGCGCTCATCTGGGCCGCCCGCTATAGGCTTGTTCTTTTTTTTTTGGACCACTACGGGCCGGGCCGTTAAGACCGCGGACAATAAAACAGTGCCCAGATCCGCCCCGCAAAGCCCAGTGGGTTAACGGGCCGGCCTATGGGCATTTATGTGAATTATGATTTTTGTGATTTATGATGATAGCAATGTAGACTATTTAGAGCAGTGATGAAAAGAACAACAATGTGGTGATTGATTCCACGAGATCAAACTCACCCATAACTGAAAATAAAATTCAAAGTGATACTCAAACTGTCAAATAAAAACATGAAAGACTAAAACTTAATCTCAAACACAAACATAAAACTGAGAATCAAACACAAACACAATCTTAAAATTGAAAGACTCAAAGTGAAACTCAAATACAAACCTGAAACATATCTAAAGACTCAAACTTGTTAATTTGTCATATATAAACAAGAATTGACCTTCGACAGATATAAGAATTGTCCCTCCACGAAGCTCTCCTTGAACCAATCACGTTCTGGTAAGGAATTAATATTTTTAATTACACATCTCGTAAATAAGCGAGACTTTGGGTAAACGACCTATTTCCCCCCTCGGAAGTTTTACATAGCACCAGAACCATACCGATTTACAACCTCATTCTATTTCTCCCTCGGATGAAAGTTCTGGATCTATTTACACATATATTGAAACTTCGAAATCTGTATACCCACGGATTAAAAGTTCGAAATCAAATTATACATATACCAGGATTTGTATCGGTTTACAGTTTATCAATCCAACCTTAACCACCTGAATACGAAACCAAACCGAAATTAAACCGACTATAACCTTTTTTTTTTTTTTTTTTTTTTTTTTTGAAAACGAAACCGACTATAACCTAATTACAACAAATAAACCAAATCTGGGAAATTAAATCGATCGTCTCCTTCACCTTGTCCATTGTAATCTCCATCGCCACCAAACTACTCAATTCATGTCGTTAAAGACTCAAGTTTTGATCATCTCCTTCACCTTGTCTTGGGATCGGAGGTTGAGGTCGATCGAACGGAAGTGAACCTGAACTTAAACCCGGATTGCATTTCATTTCCTAACTTCTAATATCTCTCTCTTGTTGAAGCCTCAAATCGAAGAGTTCGTTTGATTTGATCTGTAATTGGAGGAAAGTTTTTTTGGTGATGGTGTTTGAGATCTAATGGTTGGGATTTGTTGCGGTGTTGTTAGGGAGAGTGATCAGCGGCACTGATTGATCCAACTACTCGAGCTTTCAATGGTAAATGTGAACTGATGTTAATTGAGACTGAGACTGTTTGCGAAATTTGATTTCAGTTTAACATCAATTCCAAATCTGAAAGTTGTTTCTCATGTGAATTGATGTTAATTAAGAAAAAAATTGATTTTGGGTTTGATTCGAATTTGCGAAATTCACATTTAACATCAATTCGAAATCTGGGTTTGATTAACATCAATTCACATGGAGAAGATTTTACAAATTCATTAATTTCTTTATTGTTCTTTAATTTTTCAGAAAAAATCTGGCATTGGAAGGGGAAAAAGGAAGAAGACGAAAGGAGATGCATTTCTTTTTATTTTTTATTTTTTTTAGTTATTCCGAGTCCATTAGAAGGTTTAGATCATATTATTAAACAATAACATTCCGTTTGGTTTGAATTTAAATGGTTTGGTATGGGATTTCTGTCGTCAACCGAGTAAACCAACCTCTATGTGGAAACAGGTTTTGATCTTTCAAATTATGGAGAAATAGATTCAAAACTTTCGTCCCAGGGAGAAATAGAATGAGGTTGTAAATCGGTGTGGTTCTGGTGCTATGTGAAACTTCCGAGGGAGAAATAGGTCGTTTACCCCGAGACTTTTGATTCCAAGTTTCCAATATTTTGCACAGAAATTCCCAATTCGAAAAATCCCAATCTAACCAAACAGTGAAACCCTTTGATAAAAACAAAATTCAGTAATATAAAATAGATAATCGAGCTAAAGAAGCTATAAAAAAGACAGGATTACGAAAAATTCAGAGAATTTATTCGATAGAGAAAAGAAATACTAATGAGACTTGAAACACCTCTAACCCAACCCAGTTTGAAAGAGATACTCTCTCACCTAGTGAAGATGCTTTACACTTTTCCTCTTTATCTACGCTACTTCAGTATCTCGCATAGATGTCATACTTCTTTTAAAGTGCATATATTCTTAGTTCATGGTCCTTGTCTAGCCCTGCCTGGTCTATGTTGCTCCTTATGACAGTTTATACAGTTTAAAGAGTTTTGTTTGAAGTTTGTTTGGGTTATATAGTGCCCACAGCAATAAGCAGACTTTCAATGCAGCAATAAGAAACTAGACACTGCTGTTCTCAAGAAGGAACAAGATAGTTTGACGGATCGTATGAGTAAAATCAAAAGCGATCTTCTTCATCAAGCGTCGATTGACTCTTCCGGCGTCTTTGCTTCTCGTCTCCGTCTACTTTTCGGTGAAGATAAAAAGTGATCGGAGATTTGATTGGTTTGAGTCAACGAGGTTATCATTTTCTTATTCGTGCGATGTTATTGTAGTTCTAAAACACATGTCTCTCTGTCCTTAGATTGGAAGATTATGGCGAATGAATAAGTAGGGCTTTTAAGGTGATGTAATTTCAGACAATGGTGTATCGTTTTAACTTATTTGAGAATCTGCTTAGTGAGATCATTAACTTTGTTGTGGCTGAATCGGTTTGATTTAGTTTTGAGCAAGGAGTTACATGTTTCTTCTGAGGCATTTCATCGAACACTTTAACTGCGTTTTTCAAACCTACTTTGCACACACATCTCCCAAAAGAGTTTTGTTTGAAGTTTGGATTATATAGTACCCACAGCAATAAGCAGACTTTCAATGCATGAACAAGAAACTAGATTGGAAGGTAACATGTGATTGCTTGTCAATTCACCTCTTGAACCAAAGAATTCAATTACAGTAAATGTTACATTAGTGTTGGTGAGTAATGAATTGAATGATTTAATATTGTTTCGCAGCCATAAATCAAATTGAGCTGAGTGAGTTACGTAATGATTCAATTCAATTTTATAATGTGACTGATTTCATTGTTATTACGAAGATTTTTAATTTTAATTCAATTCAATTTTAATACTATGATCCTTACATTAAGGATACAGAGATTTTTGTAAACGATGGATCAACTGTTAGATATAAAAGCATAAAATGGAAGAGATTATATTACATAGTGCGAGACGAACATATAATCCGTGCCAACAACGTCATGAAATTAACAAAAAAGTAAGAGGGGCGTTCCGAGTGAATCGAACTCGGGACCTCTCGCACCCAAAGCGAGAATCATACCACTAGACCAAACGCCCTTTTTGCTCCATTAGCCTTTTTTTTTTTGGCACCAGAAGACACTCAAAAACTGAATGCTCACTGCAATTTGATTGCTACTAATAATTTGCTATACGCCATTTTCCTCCAATTTTCCAAAACAGATGTCCGGCGAAAAAGAACCCGTCGCCGTCGAATCAGCCGGCTTGCCCAACGGCCTAGTAAGTCATGGTAACTCCAAGACACGGCGCGTATACGAAACAGCTCGATCTCTGCATACCGGTGCTGTGAAAGATCTTCTCTCTCTCGGGGTTCGTTTTCTTATCTCTTACTCTCACGTTCTTAGGGTTTATGTATCTGACATATTCACCGCTTGAATCTCTTTGAGATTTCGTTTTTCTTCTCTAATTTAATTAAGTCCGTGTGTGTTGTCTGCTCTATTAGGTCTGCGAGAGATGTATTTTCCGATTGGTATCCGTCGAGGCTTTTGATTCCGATATTTCATCAGTCTTGACTTCAACTCTGCGCAGCTGGCTCAAATCCGGTGATGATGAAACTAGTTCATCGGAATCTAGCTGTTCCGGAATCTGCATTGTTTGTTTAGGTATATTGCAGTTCGTTTTTTCCGATGTCAAAAAAGAGCTGGTGAAATCGGATTCTAGTAGTGATTACGTTGCAAGGATAACGGACTTGGTGAAGCAGGATCGTCATGAGTTCGATAGCTTTGGTCTTGAAGTCTCTGTGCCATCAACTATCATGGAGAATGAACGTGCACTCTTGTAAGCTTCTTCGCTTGCATCAGCTAAAGAGTTTTTCCTTTTTATCAGTTTTGTTTTGGTTCTGCTCTAGTGTTGATGTATCTACCTTTATAGGTCATACCTTAAAGGAAAGTATAGCACCGAAGTTTGGCTGCAACGCGACAAAATTTCTGTAAAGGATGCCTTGAAAGTTCTACTCTTGGATCAACTTAAAGCATCATTGGTGAGTCGGTGATTTGCTTGAATGTGTTTCTCTTTTGGAAAATTGTTGAGTTGTTTAGGTTTTCATCTTTGCTTCTATTGCTTAGTATCTTATACAAATGGATGTTATAACCTGCAAAATCTGTGGCCAGATAACAAAACTGAAATATTTGCAATATTTCTTCTCTGTTTTGAGTTTTGCAGGGCGCTGAATCAGATTCAAGCTCTTTTCACATCCGTTTGACATACTCTAAAGCATCAGACGAGGCTCAGGGTGCTTCTGAAACAACGCATGAAAGTAAGAGGAGGAAAACAGGTATGTCGAGACTCTACAATCACTTAGGACTCGGTTGAATCTTTTTCTTGAACTCCTGATTCATAAATCATTTATGACATGGTGCATCTATAATTGCTTGAAATATCACCGATACTTGTGATGTTTAAGGAGTTTGTTGATGAAAGAAAATTTGACCTTCATTTATGAAATTCTTCCTTGGTTACATCTGAAGGCTCTTTTAGTTTTCACTCTTCTTTGAAAGTTCAAGGCGATAATACGCAATTAAGCCGACCTCTTTATCTAAGCTTCTTCAGTGTCTTGCATAGATGTCATACTTCTTTTAAATGTGCATATATTCTTAGTTCTTGGTCCTTGTCTAGCCCTGCCTGGTCTATGTCCTCCTTATGACAGTTTCTACACTTCCCGGATCTTGTGCCCATCTACATCATTTTCTTACACATTTGATTGAGATAATACCTTAGATCCCGCGGATCAAATTTCACAGTTTCGAAATGCTATCTGTTAATTGTATTTTATGTATATGCAGACGCAGAGAATGGTTCAAACTGTATTTCCGAGAATTCATTTGAAAAGGTATATGTTTGCATGTTTAACACATAGATATATATTTGTTGAACTTTTTTTGTCCTGGTTGTCATTATTTGACTAACTGAAACACAGTTTCTATTTTCCAAATTGTTCCACTTTTGATCTAGCTTTTTACTGATTAAGGAGGAGTCATGTATGTGGAACACTTTAGAAATATTTTGTATTATTCTAAAAATAAACAAAAGTGGTTTCTAGTGGCACACAAGTTTAATTAAGACTCAAATCCAACTAGTATTTGGTCTTAATTAGCTTTGGTAATCCGAGCCTAGTGGTTAATAGGTGACCTTGTTTTATCAAATAGACACTTAAGTATATACATGTGGAAAATTATTTAATACTTAACATACCAAAACAAAAGAGAAAATAAGAGAATTCTTGTGACACACGTTGAAGATTTGCATCCGTACGCAAAACTTGATCACTTTCATACCAAAGTCTTAGAAAATCAACTATTTTATTTATTTATAGTCAAGCATAATGTTCATAGACGACTAGAGTTATATGTAGTGTGTCCAAGGAAATAGGTATCCCTGAATCTTATTAACAAGGTAAATAAATTTGAGAGAGATCTATTTACAGCATCAACGAGATTATTTACTAATTAGAGAGAATAATGAATATTCGGATGCTTCCCAATGCTTCTTAATTTGTAACCATTTCTACTGCCCGATTTGGAGATCGAAATCGAAATCGTGCGTGTTATATGTACCATTCTCCATCATGTACCTCTCAAAGACCCTTACTCTCCCAGTGCGTTCCACCACCAATGCTGTCGTACTTGTTGTTCCAAAGCGTCCCCCATAATACTGAACCGAATTGAAAAGAAAGAGATTAGTGATGGTACAAGGATGGACCATAAAAAATGTCAGATTAAATTTCTCGAAATGCTCAACCATTTTGTCGAGATACAACGCGTCGTGTGGTCCTCCCTCAGCATTAGACATACACCTCCTAGCAAGCTCAAGTGGTGGTAGTGGATTGTTCCCATACATCTGATTATAAAAGCCTCTCATGAGTAAATCCTGCATAATACTCAACAAATAAAAAAGACAGCGTGTTTGGTTTTAGAAAAAAGAAAAGAAAAAAGAGACTATAAAAAAAGAATTACAAAAATGAACTATCCTAACAATTCGACTCGGTTACAAACACTTGTTGTACTTAATAATTACCCGGGGTAATGTGCCATCGAGACCACCGTGAGCAGATAGTGTGTGCACACCAAATGGTACGATTTCTGATTTGACGGCCATCGGCTGTAGTTTCCTGATATGAAACATTGAATTCAAAGGCATGTCTGCGACGATAAGGCTAAAGGTCGTCAAATAGACCATTTCATATCTGTGTGCCACGTCGTTGGCAAATTCCAATGGAGTCATATTTCCCTGCAATCAAACAAAGCAATCCCTTGATGTTTAGATAGTTACCAAACAAAGATGTTTGAATAATAATGAAAAACAAAAAACATATGAAACAAACCTCCAAGAATTCAATTAGGTACAATTCAGAGCCCATGTGTGGAAGAACGCGGTCTACTAATAAGTCTCCACTCACGAGAAAAGCGACTCGGCCTCCTCTAGAAATACCAAACCACGACCCGCCGTTATCTTGGCACCGACCACTCAAAATCTGGCCATTTCCACTCCAAGATGCCCGACTTATGACCCTATTAATCACTCATAGAAAAGAAAAGAAAAAACATCAAAAAAGTATTCAGCCCAAAATTAAAACAAAAAAACGACGAATAATGTTAAACTTGCCTGTTTACATAATTATCTCGGTTCATCAGCAGCGTCAGTTGGTTGTAGTTTCCCTCACCCCATTGGAATCCTACGATCCCCATTTTGTTTTTGAAAGAATATTAAGTTTTTTTTTTGCTATTTGATTCTCTTGAACTCTGTTTTCTTTGTTGTGATTTGTGTTGTGAACCCATTGCTCTGTTTTTATAGCCGAGAGATTGATTCCACTATGCTCTGCTTTTTCCTTAACGTCTCAACTTCTCAACACGCTTAAGAGCTTCTTTATCCAAATTTGGATATTATAGCTTTTGTTGTTTTCTGTCACCATCATACATACTCACTCCTCCATTCATTAACCACTAGGAACCGTGTCTATGTGATGCAATTCACTTTTAGAGATTCATGTATGTAAAACGAATGCTTCTAGTAGCATAAACTTGCTATACTAAGTAAGCCGGAAGATACATTGTTTCAACATTTCTCTCAAATTTTTCCAATTTTGCTCTACAGCTTTTTTTCTGATGGCGTAAGAAGGACTCATGTCTATCTGGAACCATTAAGAGAATATACTTTTACTACTCTGAGTAAAATTGAAATGAAGACGTTAAGCAAAACACGATGGAGATGATGAGGTGGCAGTTAGGGCCATTTTTATTGGTTGTGTGATTTATTTTATATGTTAAGAGAGTTTTTAATTAATCGGTTTTAGTCATGCTCGATTTATCTGTTTCTTAGTGATGCTCGTGTGCTTAGTTGGTGCCTTATTATGATTATCATTTTTTTACAATCAACAAGATGAGGTTATATATGATTATTATTGAGATTATTAGAGTTTGAATGGCTTTCCTAAAATGGACAAAAATAATATAGGCATAGCCAATACTTATTCGGTAACATTATAATAAAATCAAAATGTCACAATGCTAACATATGACTTGAGTTTCCAAAATTTTGTCATGAGAGACAAAACTCAAAGGACAGACTTAAACAAATGTCCAAATATATTTTTTAACTGAGGCATGATGTTACTCATCTGGCTCACTAGTCCGGTTTGGTCCTGCGGTGTGAAGCTTGAATCCAGTGATCCGCAGTAGATAAAAAGCGGCTTCATTCGGTTGCCTTCTCGTCTAGTGTAGTCCTCTCTACCATAATTGTTCCTTCAGAGGTTTCATCATTCACCTTATCGACAACAAATAGCTCTGCAGTGCCATTAGTGTTCTCTTTCACTGTAATTTTCTCTTCATGGATATTTTCTTCAGAGGCCTCACCAATCTTCTTATAGACAATGACTTCATCCGGTTTGTATTCATTGCTTCGTAGATCAGGATAGTTTCTCTGGTTCAGAGAATGCAACCAAATAGCCACAGATCCATCTTTTTCTTCAGCTGAGCCAATATGTGAGTAAACATGCTTCCATTTGAATTCTTCAGCTACTTCCTTGTACTCTTCCATTGACACCTCCTCATGACTGCCTTTAAACCTTTTGTTGTAAGACGTGAAGAAGCATTCATCAAGGTATAATCCAACTTCTGGCGCCATCGGTACATTGATTCTCACATCCCTGGTGAAGTGTTACCAATTCCGTTACCAATACAAATCAAAACGACTCAAACAATTATATATTCAGGGAAATAGTAAGAAACAAAAAGCTTACTTCTTGAAAGCAGTTTCGATCAGTGATTCAGGTGCATAGTTCCTCATGACTGCAACAGCAAGTCCAATCATTTTCCGGATTTGGTGAAGCATGAAGCTCTGTCCAACAACTTCACACTTGACAAAATCTTTTCCATCGAGATTAATCACTGTGTTTGCGTTGAAAGAGAGAATATAGCGATTCGCAGCTGGGTCTGCTGCTTTCGTTCTGGTGGTGAAGTTGTGGAAGTTATGTGAACCAACATAATAGCTTAGAATTCTGTTAAACCTCTCCTTTTCCTTCTCTCCATAACAGAACTTGCTCTCTGTCATGTCTCCTCCTCCCCCATTGTTCATCTCTACCTTAGCCAAAGTATTCGATTCTTTCGAAGAATCCAAATTCGATTCTTCCATATCCTCTGCTTTAGAGCTTGAATCAGGGTTTTTCTCGGTCGTAGCAGATACATCAGCCCCATCTAGAACTTCTGAGTTTAAGTTACTTTCTACATTAGGTACACTAGAGCTCAAAGTTTCACACTTGACATCAGTTCCTAATGCATCAAAGTTGCTCGACGAAATGGCTGACTGAATCTCCAATGATTTTGTATCACACTCAGTGTCTTTGCCCATAACACCAACTGGAATCTTATAGCCTTTCTCAGAGCACTCAACACATTTGACATATTCGTAACCTAATTCCGTTCTAACCATCTCAGCTTCACTATGTACGCATGGATCCAAAGCAAAAACCGGAATTAGATACACATACCTCCTCCGATCACATAATTTCTTGGAGCTAAACGACGGCGCAACACGCTTGTACCCAAACACACGAATCTGATCAGGGAGCTTCGAATTGAGACGCTCCACAAATCCAGGCGGATCAACATAAAAACGACCAGAAACAACTTGTCCCACCGCACTCACTCCTTTATCGGTACGGGCGGATCGTGCCCATTCGTAATTTCTTGGTTTGTTTCGATCAGCCTCAGGTACTGCTCCGGCATGGAACAACGCTTCTTCGAGCTCACCTTCAATGGTTTTGGCGCCGGGATTCTTTTGCATTCCCTGATATCCTACTCCGCAAAACGCAAACATAATTGCGACTTTCCGGCGTCTGTATTTCGGCGCTCTACGCTCGGCGACGTTGCTTCCGCCGGCGGTAACAGCCGAGGAATCAGTTTCCTGGCCGGTGGTTGAAATCTTGAGCTTCTTCTGGTCTGGTTCTCGATCAGGAACATCTTCTTGAGGCAATTTCTCGATTTCCGGCTCCTGATTCTCCATTTTCACCACTAACTGGTCGAGCAACAGTACACTCGTAGAACCCTAGTGCTTAGATGACGACGGAGTCCCTTCTCTACGACGTCGTATGACAATCAGAGCACAATTAAGAAATGGGCCTTGAAGGTCTAATATCCTGAGTGGGCCTTGAATATTTTTGAAACAATTGTTATTGCCCACATATTTGAGCAATATGTTTTTTTTTCTTTGGAAATTAAGATTCGTAGTAATTGAAAGTTGCATGAATGTGAGGAACAGGATATCAAGTTCATTCCTCACCATCATTTTCTGGTATCGCCTGATGGTTTAAGCGGAGGATTAGCTATCTTTTGGCGAAATACGGTAAAGTGTGATTTTCTGTCTCCACCTACACTTTACTATACAGATATGTATATATCGGAAGGGCCAACTACCTTTTGTCTGACATACGTCTATGGAAACCCGAAGCGAAAGCTAAGACAGCAACAGTGGCTCAAAATGGAAACTCTAGTCAAAGCTGGTCTCTACCAAAGCAAGCCCAGACTCGTTCTTGGCGATTTCAATGAAATCCAATGTAATTCAGAAAAATTAGGAGGACCTGCAAAGCCAGAATGGCAGTTTAGCAATTTCAGGAGGATGTTAAGAGTTTCTGGCTTACATGAAGTTAAAACCTATGGAGGCTTGTATACCTGGATAGGTAACCGAAGCACTGGGACAGTTAAATCTAAATTGGATAGAATTGTTGCTACTGCAGATTGGAAGAATCAATTTCCTAAGGCACTGGTTCAACTTTTGGATTGGATAGGCTCAGACCATCGGCCTCTTTTGCTTCAAACTGAGAACAATAAATGGAAAGGCACAAAGCAATTTCGTTATGATAACCGATGGAGGTTTAAGCAAGACCTTCATATGGCTTTGCAAAAATCGTGGGATCAAGACTGCAGTCACTTACCACCACAACGATTCTGTGAAGCTTTGAAGCGTTGCAGGAACAGCCTTTCACGCTGGAAATCTGCACAAAATCTCAATTCTCACAAGTTGATCCAGCAACTCCATCTTGCCATCCAAAAAGCGTATGATTCTCCTTCCCCAGATTACAATTATATTATGGATCTTAAGCGTAAACTACAGCATGAATATCAACTGGAAGAAGAGTTTTGGCGTACTAAAAGTCGCATCCAGTGGATGCAAGCTGGAGATAAAAACACGAAATATTTTCATGCCAAAACGCAGCAAAGGAGGAGTCATAACCGTATTACATCTATTCAGGATACACATGGCACTATTCAAAAATCAGAAAAAGAAATCCAAAAGGTTGTTCACTCTTACTTTACTGACGTATATTCTTCTTCTGGCAGTAACAACTTGGAACCAGTTCTGCAACATATCCAATCCAAAGTTACAGTAGAGATGAACCAGCAGCTGACCAAACCAGTTTCTGAGGGGGAAATCTACCAGGCTTTATCCCATATGAATGTTGATAAGGCCCCAGGACCTGACGGGCTAAATGCAGGATTCTACAAATATCATTGGCCGACAATCAAGTCAGGTGTAGTCAATTTTATCAAGTGTTTTTTCCAATCTGGCTATCTGGATCCTGAATTGAATCATACATATATTTGCCTAGTCCCTAAGGTGGAATCCCCAACTGAAGTAAAAGATTTTAGACCGATTAGTTTGTGTAATATAGCTTACAAACTAATCTCTAAAATCTTAGCAGATAGGCTCAAGCCTTGGTTACATTGCTTAATTTCAGAATTTCAATCTGCATTTATCCCAGGGCGTTTTATTACTGATAATGTTATCATTACACATGAGCTCCTGCATTCACTGCGTACGAAAAGAATAAAGTCACCTTACATGGCGCTGAAACTTGACATAGCCAAAGCCTTTGATAAGATAGAATGGGACTATTTACACTCGGTGCTAAGGCGTTTTGGTTTTGCAGAAATATGGTGTCAATGGGTCATGAAATGTGTCACGACGGTGACTTACTCAGTGCTTCTTAATGGCTCTCCAACTGACAAAATCAAACCTTCTAGAGGACTTCGACAAGGTGATCCACTTTCGCCTTATCTTTATTTACTATGCACAGAAGGTCTATCTTCATTACTATCACATGCGATGCAAACCAAATCACTTCATGGTTTCAAGGCCAGCCGTAATGGACCACAAATATCTCATATGTTTTTTGCTGACGATTCTCTTCTCTTCTTTCAAGCCAATAAAGCTGAGTGTCAGCAAGTTCTCCAACTACTTCAGCTCTATGCCAATGCTTCAGGCCAACATGTCAATTTCCAAAAATCAGCCATACTCTTTGGTAAGAGTGTTCCTACTGATACTCAACAATACATTAAAGGGCTAATGGGAATCTCTAGAACTGGTTTTGGGCGTTATTTGGGTCTACCTGAAGCTGTTGGTAGGAATAAATATGATGCTTTTGCCTATATCTCCCAGAGAGTGCAGCATAAGCTAGATAACTGGTATTCAAAGTTTTTATCTCAGGCTGGAAAAGAAGTGCTTATTAAATCTGTTGCTACTGCACTCCCTACCTACACTATGTCATGTTTTCTTTTACCTAAGCGTCTTACTACCCAAATTACAGCTCAAATCAGAAGGTTCTGGTGGTCTAGCAACAAGGAGAAGCATAAAATACCTTGGGTAGCATGGAATAAGATGACTCAATTGAAGCAGAATGGTGGTATGGGATTCAAAGACCTTAACCATTTTAATATTGCCCTATTAGCAAAACAGAGTTGGAGAATGCTACAAAACCCCCAGTCTCTGCTCAGCCGAGTTTTGAAAGCCAAATATTTCTCCAAGTCTGCTCTAATGGAAGCCACATTAGGACATCGTCCAAGTCATGCCTGGAGAAGTATAATTCAAGGTATGCAACTTATTAAACAAGGCTTAAAGTGGAGAATAGGTGACGGGAACACTGTCAGAGTATGGCATGATCCATGGATAGACAACCCTCCACGCCCTGCCCGCTATTTACATAATCAACCTCCTGACCATTTGAAAGTTTCAGGTCTTATGCTGCCGCATTCTACATCTTGGGATGAAGAGAAGCTAAATGATATCATATGTCCTGAAGACATTGAGCTTATCAAAAGAATACGGCCAAGACTTCTAAGAGCTAATGATGCTCCTATGTGGATATTCACCAAAAATGGTCAGTATTCAGTAAAATCTGGATATCATCAGCTTACCAAAACGAATGCAGAGAGCTCTGTCTCTAGCCAAGTTAATACATTATGCAAGTCTCTTTGGTCTTTAAATACCTCCCCAAAACTAAAGAATTTTGGTGGCGCGTCTTACATGATGCCATTCCTGTTGCAGCAAATGTTGCTCGTCGAAACATCAAGATCTCACCAGAATGTATCTTCTGTGGGGAGGCCAAGGAGACTACTTTGCATTTGCTGTTCACTGCCGCCTAGCTCGTGAGATTTGGGAGCTATCACCCATTGGGATGCGGCCAGGTCAGTATGATAGTGCTACTTCCTTATATGATATTCTTCCAGAACTTCTATCATTTAAAGACCCGGAAAATCCCAAGGCATTCTTATTCCTTCATATTGGCTGGCGTATATGGAAAGCTCGAAATGATTTGATTATTTAACAATAACGATGGGCTATTCCTGATATCATACATCAAGCTATCTTGGATTTCGCCTGTGAAAGAAGCACAAACAGCTCATAATATCCAACACCTCATCCTCCAGAAGGACATAAAGCTGCAGTTTCTCCACATACACAGGTTTTGCATAGTAATTCCCCACTCTATTGTATGCAGATGGTTCTTGGATTGACTCCAACAGCAAAGCTGGCATTGGTTGGGCTCTTTATACCTCTCAAGGGCGTTGTGTCCTGTATGGATCTTCTTCAACTGATCCCACCAGTTCAGCTCTTGAAGCAGAGGCGGTGGCATTAAGAGAAGCCATTCTCCAGCTAAAAAAGCTTAATTACCAGCAAGTCACTTTTTGTGGTGACTCTCTTACTCTCTACCGCTACCTAGAGCACGCTGTATTTCAACATCATCCTGAACCAGGCAATCATGAGATTCAAAACTACATAGAAGATATACTTGCTTTGGCTAAAGGTCGCTACTGCTTTAAGTTTGTTGGTAGAGAAGAAAATGTAATGGCTGATAATCTAGCCAAACAAGCTCGTCAAAAGCTTTCTCCATATACAATCTCTTGGGTCTATTGAATGTATGTTGTAAACTATGTACTTTTTTCTTTGGAAATTAAGATTCGTAGTAATTGAAAGTTGCATGAATGAATAGTTTTTAAGTAAAATTACAAATGTTGAATAACATTTTGGAGGCTAAAACTGAACCCTAGTAGACATGACTTGTAGTTAAACCATGATCAATTTAAATGTTAGAAAATGAAAACATAATACAGGAGGAGTAAAAGGGTAAATGATACCCAAATTAAAAGTAGGTGATGTGAATATTATATAGTCATGGGACTTCATGATTCATGTTTTGAAATCATATAACAAAAAGCCAATCTTTTGTGACATCCTATCACTTGACGTTCGACCCAACCCAACACTGTCTCTTCAATCCTTTATCTTCTACGTTTTTATATTTCTGCAATCGTCATTTTCTATAGAGATTGTATTTTTTTATATATGTGTATATGAATTAAAAATGACAATAAATACTCGGCAACTGCATAAAGAACAAATCAAGTTATTCATTAAATACCTTCTGCATCACGTGATATGCTGCCCTAAAAGATTTGTAATCATGGAATCTCACATAGATCTTCCCAAGTAAAAAGAAAAACAAAAATAAATTCAACTTATTCTTCTTTGTAAAGAATTTGGATGGAAATATAACTCTTTTTAGCTAACATACCAATTGAGTAAAGTTCTTAAAATATATTTTTCTGATTTGTGTTCTGTATATTGATATATAAAAAAATTGTAACTAAGAAGTTTGCGATCGACCATAACAAAGTTTTTTTTAATTTTCATTAATAAATTGGAGAATATAACAAATATATAAATTGTAATAAAATGTTATTCCGTGGATTCGAATTAATACGCATAAAATGAATAGTACATGACGATAATGATGATGATATGCATGAGAGAGTGCTACGCATGCAGAAGGAAAAAGGTGACAAGAAGGGAATAAATTTGCCAAACCGTAATTATGATTTGCGCGGGCGACTTGTAATTGTTCTTATTAGTATTTAATCCACTTTTTGCCAACCTTTTTACCCCAATGTATATATAGTGAGTCGAAGGAATTGAACCTATACTCCTTTAGGATGTTTCAGGCTTGAAGTATTACAAACAGTTTTCGTAGACAAATTATAAGTGTTCACAACAATAAAGCTAGCTAGCTATGATAAATTTAAGACTAGTTATTTTTTTTATGGAAATGTGTATATAACCACACAAAATTTAAGACTATCTTTACACAAAAAAAAAAAAAAACAGTTAGATTCTCATATATATTAATGGTCCGATTTATGTCAATATGTGAAATTGGGTTTTTACGTTCAAAGTGCATAAATTAAAGTAAAGACATTAACATATAAATTTGACATCCACCATAATTTTGTTGATGCTCTTATGGAAGTTTTACTTGAAATCGTTGATGCTCGGTGTTAAAAGAACACATTTTCACATTTGTTAATTTTGTTTTTTAAATATAAAACTAAACCTTACAATACAGAAGTTGAATCCAATAGCCTGTAATGCTCTGGAAAGCAGAAATTTGAGACTTTTATTAAATGGTTCAATCATAGCACTGACATCTTCACAATCCGACAAACCCGCTATATCAGTTTTTACTTTCATTATCATTGAATGCATATAAATATCAAACCCATTGGCCATAAACCTAATGCATATATGTGAAAACTAAAATAAATTGGCAGACGATATTACTACGGTGAGTCTATAAGCGACAGTGTACCTAGCTACTTCTACTTGAATGTTTTGTTTTTCAATTGGCCAAGTTTTTTTTTTTTTTTTCTAAACGGCCAAGTTATCGTAGTCGATTGAATCCAACAAACCGTGAAACTTCATTCTCGCTAATCCCAGTAAAAAAAAGGAATTTGATTTAAATTTAGTAGTGAACTTTAAATCTTTATAGGAAAAATTATTTCAAATTATCAATGTTTTGAATTAACTTTTTTTTGTTCAGTTCTTAAAATTTGAGAGAGTATGAGGTGTTGATGGCCAAAAATAGGGGGTGGGTAGATTTCAGGCAATAAATAGTGAGGAAGTACGTATTATTATGAGTTGGTGCAATTAATATCTTGAAGGGGTCAACTATTATTGTTCAAATGGATTTATGACAATACTAACTCCACTTTTATGAAGTTTGTTCCTTTTTTCACTCAAAACTAAACAAAAAGTAGGGATTTGTCGAAGCAATTTTGTCTAGGAGCATAAAGGAGATCATGAAGGTCGTGGGAGTGATGAGTGCGACATATCAATCGACTGTAGGGAAAGATGTTTAAATTCCTATTGCTAATCTATAATGTATCAAACAATTATGTATATTCCATTTATTGTAATATTAGAGACTGGCCATGTCAAAAAAAAAAAAGAGAGAAGTGATTAACCCTTTTTAACCCCAAAGATCTTACCCTTCTTTATTTAGCCCTTATATATAGTTGATGGTTTTAAGTCATATAGGTTCAAACTTTAGACGTCTTATTCATTTTTACCCCGAGCCTTGGATTCTGTAATCCACTGCCTCTAGTGGATTAGTAAATGGACCCATTAATTGGAAGTTGTCTCACACCGTCGCATAAACCAGAAGTGAGGAAATTGTTATATTCGCATCAACATGATCATTCCAAATATTATACTACCATAACTATTTATTAAAAAAAGCATGTCAACTATATATTAATAAATAAATTTAAATTTATCATCCGACTCCGATTCTTTTTGCACTGAGATACATTGCAACGTGTACGTGGACACTGGACTGATACAATTCGGTCGGTACCGTAATTTGGGATTTTTACGTTACTATTATTCATTTTAAATAGTTTATTTATAAGTAACGGTTGTAGTGATCAACGTGACAACATGCATGGTGCACGCTTGTATACTAATATATTTTTGTTAGTTCGTAACGTTTTTGTAGCTAATATATATGAATATATGATGAATATCAAGAAAATTACATATGAACAACAAAAACAACAACAAAAAAAAAAAAAACAAAAACAAAAACAATCACTACAAGACGATCAAAGTTCCAACATTTTTTTTCCGTTTCTGCTCTTAGACCATCTTTATCAATGGGTTCTTAAGAAAATCTTAAGATGATCTTAGTAATTTTTTAGTATTATTACTAAGAACCAAAGTTAAGATTCACCTCTTTTTGGTTCTTAGGTAAGCAACTCCCTCAACTCATCTTAACTTTGGTTCTTAGTAGTAATACTAAAAAATTACTAAGATCATCTTAAGATTTTCTTAAGAACCCATTGATAAAGATGGTCTTAACAATGAGTTGGTATAAAATGAGTACGAATAATAACTTGCTGCAATTGTTTTCAGCCAAAAACTAAACCCATTCTTAGTCTAGAACTACATTCTTAGAAAATAAACCAAGTCATACAAAGAAAAATATGCAGGAGGTGATACTTTATTATTCAAATTACAAATGCTCTTTCATCAAAGAAATAAAATAATTATAAATGCTCATATATATATATATATATATATATATATTTCTGTTGTCAGTTATTTTATTATTATTTTGTATTTTGGGTTACACTCTGTAGATATTGCCAACGTCAACGTTTCTTTATCCGGGAAAAAGGCTGAGAAAATAAAGAAAAGCAAACGGAAACGGTAGGCGCAAAGGTGAACCCCGTTGGAAAGTTGCTAAAACAATTTTTAGTGAGGTAACAAAACAAAAACCAACAAAAAAAGAAGCTATTCACAGTTTCTCTTTTTTACTTCTTTTCTAATCTCTCTCTTCCACTTTTATGTGTTGATGTTGTTAGATCTGAGGTCTATTAAAATCCGAATCCTTTCGATCTCTTCTCTTATTCCATCACAACCATCTAGGGTTTTAAGCCAAGCTTATATATCCCATCATAACGAGAACTCATCTGCCTCTCTCTCTCTCTCTCTCAATACCAATAAATATCACCACCGTCCTTCTCTCCCATCACTATTCCATCTATCAAAATACTCCTTTGTGTCTCTCCAATTTTATGAGAGGGTTTCCTTAAAGAACACTGGAAATAGATTGGATCTTTAAACTTTTGTTCCTTTTCATGAGGGTTTGACAAAGAGTTTCTTACAGACATCTTTGGCATTCTGTCCACCTCCTCCTGTACATGTGTGTATATATATGCGTTTTGTGTGGAAGAAGGAGGTGGGTATACTGCCAATAGAGATCTGTTAGGGTTTCTTCGTAAAACCCTCTTGATCTATATTCAACTTTATCAATGTCTTGAATCTGACGATCTTGACTTGTTTCTTGGCTATGAAGAGCCTCGATCTAGGGTAATTTTACGATTAACCATCTTCTTGATTCTCTCGATTCTCTTTGTTTGAGTTCATACATAAAGTTGATTTTTTAATATTGATCCTTCACTGTTTCTTTATGTTAGGCTTTTCATTTCATTTCTTGATTCTGTTACATAGTTTTTTTAAGCCATGTATAACCTTCGATTTTTCCTCATTTATAGTGAGTAGTCTTTGGACTATATAGTCTTCTAGAAAAAGGTTAAAACAGTAAGAAAAAGAGAAGGACCCAGAATTTCAAAAAGGTATGCAAAGGTTTTGTTTTACTTTGAGAAATGGTAATGTGGGAAAGGAGAAGCATCTTGTTTTGAAGTCCACGATGTTATCATGATGTTCCCTTATTCTATTTGAAGTTGAAGAAACAGTAGTAGAGATTACGTGTACTCCTTCATTTGGTATCATTTCTGACCTATATATCTACACAAAGTTCATAAACTACTTGCTTTATTTTGATCATGAGTTGAAAATAATTCATATTTGTTTATAGTTTCCACTAAGATTTGTTCGTTGATCATAGTTATTTGGGTATGCATGTATCACATTTTATGATAGTTAATTACAATGGGGGTTAGTAAATGGTGGTTATATATCACTTATCAGTGGTTTAAGTTTGGCATTTCTGGTTTTACGTTAGTATATCAGAAAATTATTAGATCATAAATTTGCACACTTTGTATTTTAAGTATATAATCAGCTGCGCAAGAAAAAAAAATGTTCTAAGTTAGGAGCTTTCCAATTAATAAGAAAAAAATTATGTTCTCCAGATCAATACT